CTCAGTCTTTTTGTAGATCTTTTTGTAGTACAGTCTCTTCTGTGCTGGATAATGGAACCAGCCACAACAGCAGTAATAGTGTGGCAATCCTATGTGGAGCCAGAGTAGATCAGCTCTGTAATGTTGGGGGCACCTGTGGCATCAACGGCGTACCTGCTGGACCAGGGAACTCTTCTGTCATAAGGGAGCTGGAAATTGGGTTTTCCTCACCTCTGGGCACCGCCAGCATCTTGCATACCAACTGCGTGCATGCATTGTGTATGGCATTAAATTTACAATATGATACGTGTATGTTACATTTGGTTCCCAACTCATTGGGAGAAGAGAGAGATGCTGAAGAGCAGACTTTTTGGCCTCAGTGTGGTGTTCGTAATCTACTTGTGGCCTCCTTCTCTCCCTGTGTATCTTAGGGTTGCCTAATAGGCAAATGATTCTAGTAGAAAGGAGCTCTCCTTGGTCACTGCCTTTCCCAGCAAGCGTGGTGAAAGCAGGTCCTCCTGAGAAGGGCTGTAGGGGGAGGTCCCATGGGGAGCTTTCATTGCAGGCTTGATGTGAGGATGAGCTATAGGTGGCTAACTATGCTGCTGTGGCATGCATACCACAAGTGGCGTGTTGAACAGCTTGAGGGCTGCAGGCAGTACTCTTGACCTGTGCATAAGTGGTGAACTTGTTGAGGATGCAGCACTCTTGTTGCTGTTATGCAGAGGCTCTGACAGCTCAAATACGCAGCAGTGCTAAAGGATTCGTGGATATGATAATCCTTGCTTGCTACTGGGCCTTATTTGGGTTTGATTTCTGTTTTGTTTGTTTTAGATCTAACAGCTGCTGCTTCTGTTACTGATGCGTAACGTGAATGCTTTCTGGCTTTTAAGGTGTTGCTGTGAACCACAGATGTCAAAAACAGTGTCCCTAAAAATTACATTCTCAGATTTAAACTTAACCTGCCCACATCTCAGTTGCTGCAAACCACAGTTCATAGATATTTCTCTTCCATCCTTAGCATCTGTGCTTTTGCACTCCACTGGTGATCTGAAATAGTTTTTTGAAGGATGCTGATCTTTTGCAGGTCTTTAAAATGAAAGTTGACTGCAGCGTTTATAAAACTAAAGTAACTGTTTATGTGTACTTGGATTTCTTTCTGTATTCAACAAGGCTCTCAGCGCTTTCCTTACTCAATGGCATGACATAATTATGTGTAGCTTTTAGGTTCACTTCTGATAAAACCCTCTGAACGCTTTTTCTGTCAGATACTTCAATCTATGCAGTCCTGGCATATTTCTGGTTAGATAGATTGACCTCCTTATGTTATCATTGCAAAAGAACCCCAAGCCCTCAGAACAAGGTTTGAAAAGAAACCTCCCAGGGGTTCACATCAGCTTCACAAGGATGAATGCGAGCACTAAAACCAAGACTATGAGCAGGAAATTGAGCAGCAGGTTGAGACCTCTGTTGGTAGCAAGATCCATAATGTGTGCTGGTCTGCCCTCTTGTGCTCGCAGCAGCCCTCTGGATTGTTTGCTCGATGGTAAGCAGTGCAGAGTCACACAAATTTCATTGTCCTCAGCTGTTCACCTGTTCTTAGTTTCTGCCAATTATGAAAAAAAATATTAACAGAAAGTACTTTTTTCCTTTCTAAAAAAAAAAAAATCTGAGTGTTCCTACAAGCCTTCCAATTTCCTTTTTAAAAGAAAAAAAGTTAATGAAAGACTTGAATTTTGCACAGATTGGCTCTTTATGTATGTTTTTTGTGTGCACAGCGCTCTGCGGGAGCCTGTGATTTCTAACAGAACACTATTCTCAGGTTTTACTCAGGCTTCGAGGAGTAGATTGTTGGAAAAATTCTTTTTTCTAAAAGGTCTCTGTAGATGAAAAACACAACATTTTCTAGGCAAAATGCACCTCAGTTAATTGGAGCATTTCCTACCTTTCTAGGTTCTGGCATAGTGCACCATTGTGTAGGCAGTGTTTTGCCAACAGCATGCTGCATAGGATTCATTGCATCTTTGCAACGTGATTTCCACATGAGTCTAGATTGAGCTGGCAGAGGAGGCCTCTGTAGTGCTACTAGTAGCACGTATGCCATAGCTTTTTGTAAGATAATATCTTATTGATTGTTTTATATGCAAAAATGTATGCGTAGAAAAGAAACAAATATGACCAGTTCTCTCTTACGCTGAAATGTTGCCAGACCTTTTTAATAATCAGCTAAGTTCTTAGAAAAGATCACAAGAGGGCACTGTTCACTGTTCTATAGTTCTGTATTCTATATGAGATGATGCTTCTGTGATTTTTATCTTTAAGAACAAACAAAAAGTAAGAGCAACAAAAAAGAATCTTAGAAAGTAGTCAGCTTGACTGAACTGGTTGTCAGATACTACCAAGAATATACCGCCTATTTAAAAATGACTTCAATTGTCTGTGTTCTTGTGAAGATAACCACCAGTTTTTAAAGGCATTCTTGGAAATGCATTCTGGCTTTAAGCCTTGCAGTGAGTGAGAGGTGTTCTATCATCTCTTTCCATAAGCAAAACACAGACCTCCTTCAGTTTTTAACATCTAGTCAAAGCTAAAAGACTCACATTCAATGTTAAATATGATATCCCTGGATGCTGTAGAACATCACAAATATTTTTATGACAGTTAATAGCCATTTAAAGTTGATATCTGGCCGTAATCTATCATGGATCAGTTTGCTTCCAGTTAGGAACAACGGTACTCTCTAAATGAATGTGTTCATGGCTCTGTGCTCAAATTTTGGTACAGCAGGTTTAAAGTACAAGGCATGAGTGTATATCTAATATGATTATTGTTTTCCAGATATTCTTAAAAGTTCTGTAGAAGTTCTTTGTGCTTGGAGGACAAAGACTTTGCATTTTGTGAGAAGCTTTGTTAAAGGCTGCTCTGACTTTAAAGGCTGCCCGACACTGGTGTTGAACTGAGTGACAGACTTGTCAATGGCTACCTCTCATTCACATAACTTTGATTTTTAAGTAGATAGTGGGATGGATGCTTCTTTGTAAACGATTGTGTTTGAATATCTTCTTTTATTCAGTAATATGTTTTCAAACAGTCATTTTAATAAATAAAAATACAGCTGATGCTAGTTTAGAAGCTTTTACAAGTATACCAAGGAAAATACTATGCATAAGAGCCTTTATCTCTGGGTTCAGTTGACATTTTGTGATGTAGAGCATGGGAGCAATTTTTCATATCAACAGAACACTGAAGTGCAAATGAACTTTATAGTACTTGCAATTTATCTGTGGTGATGTAAAATAACAGTAGAGCTTCCAGCTTATTTGTACCTTGGTTGATTCTTGTTTGCTTATTATCTTTAAATGATTAATGGCTTTTGAGGTACATAAGAAAAAAGCAGGTATTTTAATTTTTATAGGAAAGCTGTTTTTTCTTTATTTAGCAGTACTCTGCTTTGACTACAGGCTTGTAGATCCTGTAACTTCAAAATGATCTCCGAATGTGTACTGATATTTTCTCTTAGCACTTTTTCTCTTCAGAAAGTTTTTTCAGTACTATAAAACAATCAGTTATTTCCAGTAGAAATTTATTAAAATAAGTCAAAATTAATCTAAAATGCTTGTATGAGAAAAGCAAGATGGAAACCTTCTCATCACATAATATAGATTTAAAAATAGAAGAAAGTAACGCTTCTATTATTTGTATTCTCCCCATAGAAAGTAGTACACCGTGGCTTTTCTTTTCCTTCTTCTATGTGGTAGTAGTGATAGGAAAAGTGCATGTATGGAAAATCATGATTTGTGAAAATGATCAGAATGCACGAAACAGGAATTGAGGTTTATATTGACAATTCTAGTCATTATGACTTGAAATGGGATGCGTGTGTTGCCGATTACATCAGTATTTGCCTTAATGCTCATACAGTAACTAACTAAATCTAGTGACTAACCTTACTTCAGAGATCTGCTCTTAGTGTACCTAAGTTGGGAAGTTTGTCACCACTGAGCTTGCATTACATTCAATATAAGAGTTATTTTTTTTTCTCAAAGATTTCTTCTCTTTCTGCTCAGTTGTTCATTGTTAACCTATATTTATCTAATGTTAAGTCTTAAAGACAGAATACAAGATTTAAGATAAACTTCATTTGATTTTCTGCTTTCATCAGTGGGATTGTTTGCCCAAGATGGTATAGAAAGATGCCTGTTTAAAATAGATGTCTGATCTCTGCCTGTTGATTGTTGAGCTTTCTTTGTTTGAAAACTGTAATGTTTCTAGGAATTTAGCCTAACACCAACATGTGAGAGGGCTGGAAGTCTGCTCAGGCCTGTTACTGATATCTGCTGGGGCAGAAGCTTCGTCTTCTATTTGTATAGACTGTGTTTTACGAGCTAAACAAATTTTTCAGCAATGTTCTTCCTCCTGTACATAATGATACATATCATTTATCTTAGGAAAATACTTGCTTGCTCTCTAACAGTCATTTGCAGTTGAGGATGGTGGTGTTGCTTGTATTTCTGCAGTATGCCCCATTTGCAGTAGTAAAAATGACCTAAACCTTTTTCTTTATCACATCAAATGTAAGTCACATAGAACGGCAGTGGCAAATGCCAAACTATCTATGTTTTAAACTCGGGCAATTATTGTGTGAATTATAGCAGGCTGCACTCAAGTTGTCTGCAACCAAACATTAAGAACTTGGAGCTATATGCAATTTTTTTTTACTTGTGCCAGTTGTTCTTGCTACTTACAGAAAATGAAATCATTGCCAGTATAGTAGCATGCATTTGTCTGCAAAAACATACTGAAAAATCTTTTTAGTTGTCATTTAATTCTGTAAGATTATATCATGTGAAAATGGAACAGTGACAAATGCCAGTGAAAAAAATTGCCTTTTTGTTTTCAGATCCAAGGTGTGAATGTATAGAAATATGCACATACATTATATTTTTTTTATATATATATATGATCCTTTAAATTTGAAGAGCATTTGAAATTAAAAAAAAAAAAAAAATCTGTTCAGAAGATACTTTTTTGTTTTTCTTTCATTCTTATAAAAATGCTAGAACAAGGTGAATGCCTTCAGTTGATAGCACAAAGATACAGCATGTTTCAGGACTCAGAGCAGATGTCCTCCTACTCTGCAGTATGTGTGCCAGCAGCTGTTTTTTGGGCTGAATTTGGAACATGCTCCATGGTTTATGGACTTCCAGAGAAACTCAAAGATCCTGAAAAAGTGCACTTCTTGTTTGTCTGTAGTGGCTAACCCATGGAGAACTTGCTAAAACATGGGGAGACCAACCCTCTGAAGAGGCAGTTCCCTGCAACAGAACAGACATCTCTTGACTGAACAGATAAAATAGGTCATGCACAGCTGTGTAACAACAGGCTCTAGACACTGTTCAGCACAGAAGTGTGTTTTTAATACATGTGGCAGGCAGTAAGAGCAGCGCGATGGCTGGCACACAGCACAGCCTTAGTCCAAGTGCTAGCCCCTCTCCCAAGGGGATCCTTGCATTGGGGTTGGAAGTGGAGGTCGCTCTTCCCTTTGGGCGGCTTTCCTAGAGAACAGTGCAGAGAAGTGCTGGAACTTCAGAGGAGCATCACAATGATACAGATCAGCAAGAGGCAAATTAAGATCAGGCAGAAATTCACAAAGAGCTCCTGGAGCCTTTGGCGTGCTTGTGGGTTGACCTCAATAGTTGAGGCTCTCCTCAGAGCAGAGCGGGTTATGTATTGGACCTTCTCCATGGCAGCAAGAAAGCAGAGGGCACAAATCAGAGGTTTTAGAAGTGCAGGAAAGGAGAGGAGTTGTCAGGAACAGTGAAAAGTGCCTGTTATCTTCTCTTTTTGTTTAGACAGCCTTTGTGGAGCTGGGAAAGCAGGAAAGTGAAGAGTTAGAAATGCAGAAGTAAAGTGCTTTGATAAGTGCAGATAGAGATTGTTTTAAGGTTCTGAGAAGCTTGAAGTAAATAAGTTGTTTTCACAAGGGCTTTAGTTTTAAAATGATGTTTTTAAAATGTTATTTTCCAAGTTCAGGTTTGTGCTGCATTACGTTTCTCCTCCCAGGGGCGAGCACCTGCATCTCGGCAGGGGTTGAAGACTGTAAAATGGAAATTGTGGAAATGTGGGACTTACCAGGTCCTGCCTTTTTAGATCCTTATCTTTCCATCTTTTGTGGCCTGTGAAAAGACTGAGGTTGCTTTCTGCCCTTTTCCCCCCATTACTGCAAATTCAAGCACACCTGAAGTCTTGTGTTAGGGCTGGAGGCCAGGATGCCTGGCTGTGCTTGCTTGTGATCTGTATAGATGCTCAGACTTGCCAGAGCCTTGTTTTGGTAGGGAGGAGAATGAATCTTTATGCATTGCCATTCCAAACAAAAAATACTTAATGGTGTGTAATTAAAAGCTATACATCATTGATACAAGGAATTTTAGTAGTATATTTTTCATTAGACAGAATAGGATAAGGCCTAAAATGTTTAGGTACACAGGCTGCTATGGGAGCAAGATAAAGCATGTGTATTACTTTGTCTCCTGCTTGAAATAAAACATGCACTCCTGTATCTTCTCCCTTTTGATGGCAGATGGAAGCACAGGGTGTTGGTTTTCTTAGAACTCTCAGTGGGTTATAAAAGCCCTACTGTGTGAATCTTCTATGACAACGGGCTGTGTGCTTGCTTAGCTCGCGGCAAAGTGTAGGTGCTATAGTAATGTGAAAAATTAGTTCTTAACGTGATGATGTTATATACATCTCTCAAATGCCGCTCTGAAAGCTTAACTTGCCCCCTGGTGGTTTATGAGTATATATTGTGATAATATTTTTTACACAAGGCCTCTCCTTATCTTGTTTGGTGTGTTTTTGTGTTGTGGTGTTTTGTTTTGTTTTTTTTCTCTCCAGTAAATTATACAGATACTTGCCTTTCTCTCTTTCATATATGCTAGGTAAAGGCAAACACTTGCTTAGGTATCTGCCACTAGAATTATAGGACATTTTGACTGACCCAGAGATGTTTTGTCACCCATGAGTTTGTCTTCAGGTGTGTCTAAAATGGAAGAACCTTAAAATGAAACAAAAACATTTTTCAGGCTCTTTTTAAACCTTCCATGTGGGTCTCTTAAGTAAGATGGCATTATATGAGCAGAATACATGTGTTTTCAATACTGATGACAGCACTGGTATTTAAAAAAAGGAAAAAAAAAAAAAGGCTACTGAAAGGAAGCACGCTATACATGGATTTTTTTTAATATACTTTTAGGTGATTCCCTGTGATGGTATCTCCAAAATCTGAACTTCAGATTTTTTTATGGTGACTTCACAGAATCACAGAATGGCCAGGGTTGGAAGGGACCTCAAGGACCTTGAATCTCCAACCCCCCTGCCATGTGCAGGCCACCAACCTCCCCATTTAATACTAGACCAGGCTGCCCAGGGCCCCATCCAATCTGGCCTTGAATACTTCCACGGGGCATCCACAACCTCTCTGTGCAGCCTTTTCCATCACCTCACCACTCTCTCTGTAAAGAATTTCCCCCTGACATCCAACCTAGATCTTCCCTCCCTCAGCTTAAAACCATTTCCCCTCGTCCTGCATTTATCAACCCTTTCAGAGGGTTGATTCCCTTCCTGTTTGTAGGCTCCCTTTAGGTACTGAAGGGCTGCAATGAGGTCACCCCGCAGCCTTCTTTTTTCCAGGATGAACAAGCCCAGCTCTTTCAGCCTGTCCTCATAGGGGGGGGTGCTCCAGTCCCCTGCTCATTTTCGTGGCCCTCTTCTGGACCCTCTCCAACTTAAGCTCTAGTTGGTCTTGACTTCACAAAGTGCATACCAGGACCTTAGTTTCTAATACTGTTTATCAGCTTTGTTTGACATAACGCTGAACCTGTTCTCATCCATCTAAGTAGTGAAGGTGCTCACCAGGCACAGTGTGCTGAGCTCTTCACTGGCTTCTGCCTGTTCCCAGGGCAGTAATTCCCTGGATTGGTGGCATGGCATTCCCAGCCTAGAGTGGGCTGCTGTGGACCAAGCTGTTTGTCTTCTGCACAAGACTCAGGAGATGAATCGCTGATGGATGTAAGCAAGTACAGGTAAGTTTATGCAGCTATCTTGTGTGATGGACACTGTGCAGAGATTAGAGTTTCCTGAGGATGGCTTCACCCCAAGTCACTGTGTCTTTTTTTTTTTTTTAATGTATAGGGTGTGCAGCCTGTGGGCTGAGTGCAACCTCCTGACAGCTAGCTTCACCCTATCTACTCCATCTCTTGGGGGCACTCAGAAGAATTTGAGGAGGAATGGGATTGAGTTTTACCTGCTCCTATATACAATGAGCCCACTTCTGTGGGCTTAGATGTTCTGCACACTTGCAGGCGCCTGTACATTATGATGCTGAGTACATTTCCAGGGGCAGTGACTGAAGATTTAGTACTTTAGTACTGCTCTAAAGGATGGGCTGGGCATCACAGGGGGGAAGCCATCACCAGTTCAGGGAATCAGAGAGATCTCAAGGAGAACAAAACATTAGCACGTAGCCAGTCACTGTGCCAGAGTACCAGAGAAGTGATACAAAAGGATTAAAAAAAAAAAAAGTAGAGTATATTAGAGCATATACCCCGTATTGCTAGAAGAAAAACATAGAAAAGGGATGAAGACAGGTCAGATTACAATAACAGATTGTGTGGGTTTGGAAATTTTTAAAACAGCTGTGTTGCTTTCCCTACTTAGCCTGCCTGTGAGGGAAGTTCACTTGTAAGCAAAGGGAACAAATTCTGCTTAACCAAGTTTTTCTTTACAAGTGCGTAGTTTCAAGCAGTAAACACATACCTTACTCGTTAGTCCTCCATGATGCTGTTACCACCTGAAGTGTGCATAAAGAGAAACAAGAGTCAGTAATACAGCTGCAGCTGGGTGGCTAACAAGGTCAAAAAGGGCAGCCTGACAATTACACTAAAACAAACACAATCATTGCACAGATAATAGTTTTCTCTGTTGTTTGCCCACTGTCCTTGCTTTAGGTCAATATGCACAAAAACACCTCTTGAAAGTGCAGCAATTAGTGAGATTTATTTGGCTTTGAAGCCAAACTGCATTGCCTTTGGGTGTGACAAGCCCAGAAGGGAATCTGTTGGTTGCATTGGTGTACAGTTGTGTTTAAGGCAGGGTTGTTAATGAACCTGTCTCGTACCCAGGGCAGCTCTGCAGGAAGACATGACATGGTTAACCCCATGTTGCTGAATGGGGTATCCCCTACACTTGGGGCCTTAGGGTGAGTCGCTAGTTACAATTACTGCCTCCCTCTTCACTGACATATGACTGTTTCCCTGATTTGTGTCAGGCTATTTTTATCTTTGTTACTGGATGTCCTTCACCATGAGAGGAGATCTGTGACCAAAGTGAAAACTGTGGGCCACGCTCGTTCCTGGTGCAACTGCATTGACTCCATTGAAGTCACACAGGATAAATTTGGCTCCTTTGGAAATGCCACAGCAATTTTAGACACAGCCTGTTTCCTGTCATATGTTTACTAAATGCAGTGGTGATATCACTGGAATGAGTTTGACATATTTGATTTGTTGCTGCCCCGTACAAGCAAGCTAAGCCCTGAAAAGGCATTGTTAAAAACTCCTATTGTGTAGTAGCTTATTTTATAAATTTTTACAATGAAATTTAAAAAACAAACAAAAATAAAGCAACCAAAACAAAACATAAACAACCCAGCAATAGTGGTCTGGTTTCATATGCTGGAAATAAGTTTCTTGCTCATCATCAGGATAGCAATGCAAAAAAGCACCTTTAAATTCTGTGGTCCTTGTTCTACATGTTGAGAACTGTTCCAAACTCTAGAACTGTACCCAGTGTAAGAAATTTCTTTCTATGTTTGTGTGAACAGCGTGGTGTCCCTGGGTACATTCTCTGCACATTCAGAGAAGATGCATTTAAAGGTTTGTGTGTACAGTGCCAAAGTGACAAAGAAATGCAGTGAATTGTTGACTCTGGTGTCTTTTGTCTCAGTTGTCCATGGAGGAAGTGTTACAGAGAGTTACAGCTCTGCCTGCACAATGCGCCTGCAGTTGATGTGTAGGCATGCTTGTCATCTCTGCTGGCTTCCTGTGTTAATGTATAGATATTATTCCCAGTTGCATTGCTTTGTTTTGAACTTGGCTGTAAAGCACCTTCTCACTGATGTGTGGAGCCATTTCACTTGAAACCTCCCAAGTCTGAAAATTCTCCTTTTCTGTGTGAGGAAGCTGAGAGCTAATAAGAAACCAGTCTGAATTGGCTTGAGAGACTTCTAGTGGGTCTCTGCTCTCAATTCAATGAATAAAAAGGCTTCCACTGATAAAAACAGAAGCTGCTTACAGGTTTTCAACCACAGAAGTGATCAATAGAGGTATGTTACAATTTGTTTTCTTGTAAAAGAATGAAATGGTCTGGAGGCAACTTGCTGGGTTTTATGCCTTTAGCTGGGTGTATATTTACTCACACTAGGGGTGCAGGATGCTGTTTCCTGCTCTGTTTCTAGGCTGGGAGTTGACTAGGCAGTTGTACCAGTGAAAAACTGTGTCAGCCAACTCAACAGCTGGACTGCAGGGAACAAAAAGCTAACTAAAAAAAATAATGAAGAAAACATAAGGGGAAAGAGAGCTAGTAATCGAAAAGACTGGGATAGGTGAAGGCAGGAATGCAGAAAATCATGCAGGTGAAGACAAACTGAGGGAGAAAAAATGAGCAAAGGAAGAGTGAGGGAGTGTGGAAAAAGAGCAAGGAATTGCATGGGGGAAACAGAAAATTGCAGCTGGAGTACCTTTTCAGTGAAAGGAGGCACAGACTGACTAGTAGGATATGGTTTTACTTTTTTAATTGCATGCAGAGAACATTGGTTTTGAGATGGGGAAAAATAATAATTCAGCTCAGATTTTGGGATGTACTGGTAAAAGGAAAGCAAACTATTTTTTCTGTTTTGAAGTCTGTATTGTACTGAAGTGTGTCAGTGCAAAAGGCTCACACTTTAAAAGTAACTGTTTAGATTCAGTTTTTCCTGTTTTACATTTTTCATTTTGAGTAGTTTTTATGTTCTCCATGTTCTAGAAATGAGATCATCAGTTAGTAAGAGCCTTTAGCTATATTTAAAGGCCATGAGAAAGATAAAGGTATGGATATATTTAAAAAAAAAAAAAAAAAAAAGAAAAGAAAAGAAAAGTGAACTATTAAATTCTTGAACATGCATAGCTTGGCATTTTGTTTTGTTTTTTTTTTTTCTTTTTTTTTTTTTTTTGGAGGTTATCCATGTACTTTGTGGCTAACTGTGACTTTTATCTCTATTTCTGTCTATGAAAGCAGCCTGGAAGCTGCTGTCTTTGGTTCGATTTTAACTCTAGGCTAAATTTCCTGCAAGTGCTGCAGAACGGCACAGTAGAGTCTTGGGCAGGTACCTCAGCCTGCAAACTCATCTGTTACCTCATTAAAATAGGATGTATGATGCCATGTACTTTTTTCCAGCTGTATGATTTACTTTTTTATAGAAAAGCTCCTACTGGGAGATGGCTCCTTTCTCTACTGTATGCCTGAGGAATTAACACCTTGTAGTTTCATGTTAGGTTTTAGGTTCTGGTGATTCTGATGTTACCTATTAATAAATGGGCTAGGTGCAGTGTGAACCAAAGTGAGTGCATGCGAACTGAATTGCATCTAACATGTATAAGAACATACAAGTGGATGGGCATTCTGGAAGTTATTTCTTATTTTAACATTTTTAGCAGCAGTGATGTGGCATGGATTGAAAAGAGAAAACAGTAGATAAGTAAGGTCCTGAGAAGTAACTCAATACCAGGAAAGTCCTCATAAGTCACGTATTGATCTCTGGAAAGCAAAAGCAATCTTCTAGTTCTAAAGTATCTATCTCATAATCTATGGAACATGATATAACTTTCCTGCAGGGTTTTGGTTTTACAGTTGGGATGCTTTTCTACTGCTAATTCAAGTTAGTGCTACAGTGTGTAAAAAGGTGTGTGTCTTCCCACATAGGTGTATCTCAAACATTCTTGTTTGCAGAAAAACTCAATCAGAATCACCTTTATGGTGTCTAATTATGAATCAGTGTTAGTTTTCTGCTGCACAGTGAAGATGCTACATCCTTAACTCTCTTTAAATTGAGAAATTTAATACTGTTTTTTGAAGTAGACATGAATCGGAATCTTTGGAAATACCAATTCAGTCGTCTCTGCTTGATAGGAAATATACAAACTTTTTTTTTCCATTTGGGAATGCATTTTAAGTGGCCTCAGTGATAAAAATTGTTTTCCAGAATATTCCTCCTTGTCCATAGGTGTTGGCTTTGAAGGCAGCATGGGTCTGAATACTGCTTCTACCTGGTAGGAACAGCTTCTGGAGAGCTTCCTAACAAGCTGCCTGGCTTCAGGGCTACAGAGCATCCAGCCTTCATGAACCAGCACAGGGTGCTGAGCACAAAGCCAGCTGTTCTTGGGCGTCCTTACCTGGTGCCTACCAGTCAAAGAAAAAGGAGCCAGGTGCCTCACAACATCAATTTGTCCCTTTCCTAAACCAAAACTTGAACAGTACCTAAGTAGTAAAGTGGGTGTCAATGGAGGGCAGAACAGCAGCTCTAAGGAGAAGTTTGTTGAGAATAAATCTTACTCCCTCTAGCAATATTCATATATGTTGGGTTGTTGGGGTTTTTTTGTTTTATATAAATATTCTTTGTGGAATGTTCCTGCTTGAGATGTGCTCCTTGTTGCTTGCCAAGGCTGTATTTTTGTTGTACAGTGTATGCACTCTTCTATCAGGATTAAATGGATTACTTTCTGCATTAGAAATTAATTTTGCAATGTTACAAATCCTGGTTACTTTTTTATTTGTTACTAGAAGTATTCTAGTTTGGCAGTTACAGTGACCAGAAAGAAAAAAGAAACCTTTCAAAGGAATTCACAGCATTGATGTTGTATGAATACAGTTGTTTAAGTGTCAAATAATACAATACAATTCCAGTTCTAGCGCTGCTATAAACCAGTTAACATTTGCAATGAAGGATGGTACTTTATCATACAGCAGCCAAAGTTTTTGTTGCTCAGTGTCACACCAGCAAAGCATTCTTCTGTGAGCTCAGTGACAGAGGAGCTTTGCCTTTGTGGGGCTGAGGCACACGGCTGGGCAGTGCCTCTGCAAAACTGGGTTTGTATTTGAAACAAAACAAATCAAGTAGATTAAGAGGAGGAATAAAGGTTGAAGGAAGTTGAATGAAAGTTTCTCACTGCTGCTGTGACAATAATGCCCAGGGATAGTTAGTGTCTCACCAGCATGTAGAAAAATCTCAGCTGTCCCTTAAAATACAGTACTGTATAAGTAACTCAGAGCAGATTTGCCTAATTTTCCCTACTTTTAGTGAACATTTAGAACTGGCTATTAATTTGAATAGAGGAGTTTATGTATAAAACTGCAACTACAGTGCCTCGCTGTGAGGGTTAAAAGCATCAAATGGAGGGTGCTTACCTCTGCTGCAGGCTGTTGGAGCGTGGTGGCAGCTGCCTGTGGTCTCTGGTAGCCTGTCTGAGTCCGTGACCAAGTGCTGGGAACAATTGAAGGAGGCTGAGGGGAAAAATAACAAAAGTTACAGAGGCAGGACTCCTGGTGTCATTCAGCAATGCAGAAGTTGTGATTGGCCTCGGCCCTGCCTTCTGAAGCCTGCAGTTCTCATCTCCACTTGTTGGCAGCGGGAACGCGCTCAGTTCTGGCAGCTCCTCTGTCCATGTGGGGCTCAGGGAACTGCGGCCAGGGCGCGAGGGAGGGGGTGAGCTGTTTGCTGTGGCCTTTTTTATGTTTACTTACATGAGAACTTAAATAGGAGTTGGTTTAGAGGGTTGTTCTGGCTATGCTACTTTAGCTGCAGCAGTGCAGTTTCTTGTTAATAAAATCCTAAAAATAAAAATAAAATCCATACAGGATTTGGAAATGGAATGATGTTCTTTTGTACCACAGGTTTCTTGAACTTTGTGTATATTTAGATTCAGTAATACTGTTATACAGCTGCTATATGGTTTACAGTGTGATGTAAGTTCTGCAATATCAGCTTTCTTCTGACCATGTTTGAACTTAATTTTTCTGTATTTCATGCCTTCTCTACCCTCTTGAGTTAATTTGTGGGTTGGAAAGTATGGCGTGTGGTGGTGTTTTTTTCCAAATAAAATCCAGCTTGTATAAATCCTCAAATTATATAGGAATGATTAATTTAGAAGTATTTTACCTTTCTTATGGAATACCACAGTGCCCTTGTGTCTGGGAACTGTGCCCATGATTTTTTGCCCCGTTTTCTGGGGAGAAGTGTAGCTGGATGAAGCACTGCAGGTTACCTTCTGCATCTTACCTATGTCTGGGAAATGCCAAGTGGGGACACGACACACACTGCATCCTGCACTTGTGAGGAGGCTTGTGCTGTCTGTTGCATGGGCTGCATTTAAGTAGTAGGGTTTGTGCATCCAGGAAATGGAGAATTTCCTGGGTGTGGAGGCACTAAACTGCTGTGTGTGAAAGCACCCAGCATCAGGCTTCGTGTGTGGATGCTACAGGCAGAGTGAGCATTATCCTCATTTGGAAATGGCAGGCAAAAATACAGAAGCTCAGCTTAACTCTAAACATTTAGATCCAGTTTTGGCAGTTGTTGCTTAGCGTAGATTAGTGTCTGGCTTTGAACAAGAAACCAGACATGATAGGTTGACTTTTTTCAGTTGGTTTATTGTTTAATTTTTTTCTAATTCCCTCTAAGCCATGCTGTGATGCCTGTACTTGAAGACTTTGAAGGTGATGTTTAGCTCTCTTACGCTTTTCTTGGCTACATTACAATTAAAGTTAGAAACTGAGCTTTTATATTATAAATGTGACTGCTTTCTGTTATCCTTTAATAAATCCAGGAAATCCAGGGTCACTTGTTTCAATTGAAAGTTAATAGAGTATCTCCACACTGGTAGTTCTTCACCAGTGCAGAGGCTTTCATAACTTACTAATAATGGCATTATTAACATAAATCTATAACAGTCGAGCAAACTGCATTTGACCTTTTTGTGAGGGAAGTTTCATGTTATCGCTTGCTATCATCCAGCAAAAGTACTGCTGTCTTTGCAAGATGTAATATGAAACTTGTACAAGTGTTACTATTGAAATTCACACCTTCCATTTGTTATTAGAGTCCTGCACCCAGCACTGCAGAGACTAATGTCAATTCCTCCCTTTTACTGAGTCATCCTAAAATCATAGCAGTACTTACTCTTCCCTTGATTCTAGTCTTTTTGTGTTGGTAAATTGCTTGTAATCACCATTCTAAAGCTTTTTTTAACATGAGATGCTTAAAGAATGCTCATTTTTATTACTGAGCCACTGATAGGTTAGGAGCTGCAATCATACCATTCTTTAAAAAGACTATGCTATTTAGAAGTGAAAGATAAGGCATTAATGCAAATGGTAATACTTCATCTGAAATGTAACGCATGTCTTCTGGATATGTTTAAGTCAGATAAGAAATGCTACATTTAAATAAAATTGGAAATGCATTTGGTAAATAACAGTAAAATTCCCCACTGCAGATCTTGCAAATGGTTTGGATTTGTATTGGTGTTTTCCTGGCAAGAGGCTTGCTGGGATACGATCTCTCCAGAAGCCTGCCCAGGTTGGTTTGGTGTCACATACTGGTGAGGCTTGCTAGGACCTGTGTGAGGCAGCTTGCTGCTCAGGGACCGGGCAGCAGAACCACATGTGTGAGGGCGTCTGCATGCTTTTCAGTTTCCTCCTTGGTAGCCTTAGTCTGAGCACCCACGGAGTCCAGAAGGGAACAGCTTTTAAAAAAGGAATTTGTGTTGGAGGTTTTGGTCTGCTTTATTTTGTTCTGGGGAACAAAAATGTGCAGCTGTTGCTTGCTTGACCTTAAATGGAGATGATCTGGGCTTTCTCCAGTGGGATTAGAGATCTGCCACCAGAGCATGTTTCTTCTCATAAATTTATTTGGAGATCCGGTTGATGTTTGGGATAATGTCCAAAAAGAGATTGTTATATTCCAGCATACCAGCTCCTCCATTTAAGTAATAGTGAAACTTGTATTCATAACGGCAATTTCCTATGGTTTTTTTTGTTTGTTTTCATATGCTGGTTTTCCAAATTTCAACTGTAGAGGCATTGCTAACTTGAATAATCTGTGTGCAGAGTTTGAGATGTCAGTGTTTGACCTTTTGATAATCCATGACACAGCATAGAAGCAAACCATAACCCAAGCTTCATTATTTATAAAAGCAAAGAAATTCAGCTATCAGTCTGACTATTCGGGTTACTGCCATATTCCGTAGCACTGCTCTAGTTTTCCCTCATACCAAAGAGGAGTACATTAATAATATCATACACCCTTGTGTTGTATGTTTGGTTTTAAAGCAACTAAAATGAAGGCAAGGGAGAAGCGCCTGCTCCCACAGGTGTGCACTGGATTGTTTGTGTAGGAGGAACAGAGTGGCGGGTAGCAATATGAAAATTGATCGTGGGAATTAAATCTTTCCTTTTGTAACCAGCAATTTTTGACCTGATTCTGAGGTGCAGTTTATACCTACTGCCCTGGGGAGCCTTTGCCAGTACCTGACCACTCTCTGGTGAAGAGCCTTTTCCTAACACCCTGTTTTACTCTCCCTGACACTGCTCCGTGCTGTTCCCTTGGGTCAACACTGTCCTGCTGTCCCTGTGAGGACCTGCAGGCCACCATGAGACCTCCCCTCAGCTTCCTCCACTCTGGGCTGAACCGGAGCTCAGCTCAGCCACTCCTTATACAGCTTGCCCTCCAGACCCTTCACATTTTTGTAGCCGTCCTCTGGACATTGTCTAATAGTTGTGTTTTATATCATAGTGTCTGAAATCTCACACGGTTGTTCAGGTGAAGATACACCAGTGTATAGTACCATTGGGTCCCTTCAGGTCTCCTCTTAGAACAGCTCAAAGCTACTGACTGGCATTTTTACGTTGCAAGGTGCTTCAGGGGAAGGTCAGGTTGGGGCTTAAATGATTCTACGCTGGAGGGTGATCAAGCTTGGGAACAGGCTCCCCTGGGCAGTGGTCATGGCACCAAGCTCCTGGAGTTCAAACAGCATTACCAGTATTTTCAAATGCTTAATGATCCTTGTACACCCCTTCTAACTTGGGATATATTATAATTCTAATTCTTGCAACATGGATAGAAATCAGGCGTCAGCAAATATGGCTTGTGAGGTGCTTTTTTATGATCTCTGGTAAGGGAAAGGCATCTTTCAGTTATACTGTATTGCATGTATCCTTCAGTAATGTTTGTATTGCAGACTGAGTTCAACTTAAGGCCAGTTTTTTTTCTTCTATTCAAAGATACAGGCAAAGCACTATTTTCAGCCACTGTGAACAGCAGTCCAGATTTACAGCAGGTGAGAAGATAGTCTGATCAATTTAGAGATGCTCACATTGCTCATGACTTTGAGTTCTCTTGCTTGAATTTGATAGATTTATGACCCAAATGTTTCTTTTCTGCCTGATGCTTCCTTTAATGCTTACTTAAGTGATTTTCACCTGGATCTGGAATATGACTAGATTCTGATAGTCGTTTATCAATGTTTTCTGGATGCGTGGGGACAAACTTGTCTTTTTGGGACTGCAGATTTTCCTCCTACTATCGTGATGCTTACAGCTTGTTTTAGCATTGTAGAGAACAGCTCTGCTGAGAAATTTATCCTTGGTGTTTTGTTTATCTCCTTGGGGAGAAGTAGTATTTACTTCTGCTAAGCATTGGGCAGTCATTAAGTAGTCTGATCTTCACATTTTGTTCTTCGTTATAAACAACAAGAACTAACTTTTGAATCTGCAACTTTTGAAGTATAACACTGCAAAGTGATTAACAAACCTGTATGAACAGAAAACTACGACTTGAGCTGAAATATTTCTCATTTTGGGAATGCTGAATGCTCTGGCAGGGCTGGTTGTCTGATTTATTAATAACCAGAGACATTTTCAGAAAAGTCAGCTTGAAAGTTTTCAGTATAGTCAGTGTTTCTGGCATGAACTTTTAACTATTAGAGTGTATCACAGAACTCACAAGTGTGTGTCACACCTCTTTATTGTCTTCGGTGCTTTGGCCTGGGATTAGGAGAGAAGCAGGGGAACAAGAAATATTGCCTGTCTCAGAAAACTGACAGTAGCCTTTCATACCCCTGCAGAGAATTCTTGTTTGCCTTGGACACAACGGAGCTAGCACAGACTTAACTTCTTCTATTTTACAGCAAAATATTGATGGAACAAAAAGCCTGCTCTTTCAAATACTTATTACTTATATATCAGTGAAAATAGATTAATGAAGGTCAAAATAATTAGTAATTTGAATAGTAGCAGTTAATTACAGTAGTGCAAAGTGTCTTCAAAATAACAAATTGATACAGAATAGTGATCATCATTAGGGTGGAAATTTTTTTTCTTTTTATGAAATGCTTGTGGGAATTGCCTTTGCTGTGTGCTGGTGTCCTCAGTTGACTAAGCTGAATAATGTGTTTTAGGTGGCATGCAGAGATCCTTATACCTAAGAAACTGTGTTGAGTGTCTTTGAGATAGATTGTTCTAGCAAGCACAGATAGTAGCTGTGTTATTTGACATGTTATGAGTGATGGATGAATGGTGGGACAAAGGCATATGAAGGAGAGATAAAGTTGGAAGCCATGTTCCAGTTGCCAAGTGTTGAAGTGGAGACAGTCCAGCATCAACTGCAGCAGCACAACAGAAGAGAAATGGCTGGGGTTTGGACTCAGCTGCTGTCTATCTCCAGCTGCAGGTTGTCCTTACAGAAACAAACTGCCCAAATGATGAACTCACCATTTAGCATCTATAAGCTAAGAGTTCTCTTGTGTGGGACATTACAGAAACTTTTCCCTGTGGTGTGGAGGGGTAGCTTGTAGATTAGTGGCCAACAGTACATCCACCTGCTTGACAGGCATCTTCATTCAGGTCGGCATGGAGACAGTGTCAATCAGACATCTAAATTTGGTGTACCAAGAAGGCTCTTCATGCTAATTCTTGGTTGGTCCTACTTTGAGAGGTATGTTTGAGAAATGCAAATGAGAAATACCTTTCCTCCTCTGGGTCTTTATTTTGTTTAAATAGTGGAAAGCCTTTCCTTCCCTTTCTTCAGTAACAAAATGTTGTTTCACAGTTGCATATGCAAGAAAAAAACGCTTTGTCATAAATTTTATTTCATGCCACCCCAAAAATTAAGATCCTAAACTAAATTTTTTCAGAATTTGAGGGAAAATACTTTGTTTTTCTTTTACCCGAATATGCAATGTGGCAAAATAAAGAGGTGGTCTGAATTAGAAGAGTAAGTCACCATTGAGTTAAAAGAACAGATTTCCCCATCTTGAAAGTATTTCCTAATTGAGTATTTTGTTGTAGGCAGCTGCTTCCTCATAAAAGTCCTGTTCTCACTTACTGGAGGACAGAAACTTTGCCATGCAGATTTGAATTTGACTGATGAGTGATAGAGCATAGCTTAATGGAAATAGCCATGGACTAAAATTTGAAGAATAATGAATTTCAATCCCATCTACATTACCACACTTGAGGGAATCTTTGGTTTCTTCAGAGACTGTAAGACATCTATTTTGAGTCTAAATCATAGAGAAGCTAGATAAAGACTTGCATGCACAGCTTTGAACTTGCTTTTAGTTCCTTCCAAATGCTTAGTATTATTTCTGCACTGTTACTGTCTTTGGAAGGGTTTGCTGCAGATGTCTCAATTTTCCTTTCATTCTCTCTGTACTGGACAAAAGAGATTCTCCAGCCAAGTGTACAGAGGGGCTGCTCCAGGCTGAAGTGTAATGCAGCACTACAGCATTTTCCAACAGGATGAAAAATGGCTTCTCATACTCTCATGCAGAAGATGCAGCTTTATAATCATTTTAGCTCAAAGAATGTTCTGGATGGATAAGACCGTGTTTTTTTAATTCAGATACTTATTGAATAAGTGTGTTTGGTTTTTTTTGTTTGTTTGTTTTTAGCCAGGAATAGTCTTATTCATATTTGACAAAGCCAGTATTTTGCTTACAGAACATGATTTCCACACTAAGAATCTGCAGTGTTCTGGTACTTTTTGGTGAGCCTTGGAAAAAAGTGTCTTCACTTTTATCTCAATATCTTTTCTGTAAAATCTGACTAATAAAGTAGTTTCTTTATAAGATCTCTTGAGACCTACGAGTGGGACGTGCTGACTGCTGGAGGTGGAAGTGCTATTTATTTTTAGTGTGATTTTTCTCTGCTGTTTCTGCTTATATTAAGATCCTAGGTCTGCCCCCATTAATTTATCTCTTAAAGAAGGAAAACACCTTCACACACTGACACCAGTGTTAAAATGCACCCTTACATCATCCTGCTGCTTTTGTTAGAGACAAGTGTGTTTCAAGTACCCCTCATAAACTCAAGTGGAAAAGGTTCATAATTTGAATTGAAGCCAAACAGTTTAAGAATCCATCAGTTGTTCCATGCTCAAATTATGTGACTGTCATCCACGTTTGTGTGGTTCCCGGTTTAAAAGAGAATCCTGTGTTAAACTAGTTGGGTTTCTTTTATTTGTTAGTGGTGCAGACATTTCAGGCCAGAATCCTCAAATATGTGTCTTTAGATGTTCCAACGGTTGATTTTCAGAAGTAAAGGCCTCTGTAATTCCTTCTAAATCTGGAGGAGGGGGGGGGGGAAACAAACAAACAAACAGGTCTGTGGCATTTCCAAATGGGGTTTAAACAACCAAATAAATACAGAATGGAAGAGAAAAATATTTTTCCAAAATTATGGTACAAGTGCCTGAGTCACTGCTGGTTGTGTCATGATTTATGTGCTGCTGTGCAGGGATGGTGGTAGCAGTGCCTCTAAGCGATGGAAACATCGCAGTAGATCTACATGCTGTCCTGTTTGTTTTTTTTTTTGCTGGCTGAATGCAGATAGTTCCCCCAAGGAAGAATTTCCACAAGGGAAGCAGAAAATATGAGTGTGCCTCTAATGTTTCCATTTACTGAAGTTTTTTTTAAGTTAGATACAGGCAAAAGTAAAGGAGACCTGTACTCATTGTTCTGAACTCTGGAATCCACAGACCTTATCAGCTTTGCATGGATCTGTTTCTTTAGACAACTTGTTTTTTATCTTCCAGTACTCAGTAAGATGGCTTACTAAATCTCCACATTCTGCTGCTAATAGAATTATCCCCATAAGGGTGTAGAAGGTAGTGGAGAAGGCAAATCACTATGAGATCATATCTTCTCTAGGTGCTCTCAATTAAAACATGTACAGAAGTTGCACCCACAAAACTGCATAGTTAGAATTTGTCTGGATCCTGTTCTTTGTGCAAGGGCCCATTGAAACCGGTTCTGGATTGCTATTTTTAAATAAAGTGTTCTTTTGTGAATTTGTTTTCATGTAAATATTTAACATTTATGCTTTATTTTTGTGGGAGTTTTTTGTTTGTGTTTAACCTCTGTTAAATTTGATGAATGTTAAATTCATGGTTAATGTTTCTTTTAAAATCATGAAAAGCTGAACCAAACAATGCAGATGAAGAGACGCCCGGTTTTCTGGTTTGGGGGATGACACTCTTCACAGAATCTAAAGATCATCAATTTGAAAAATGGAGACCATTGATAATGAATCTGCTGAGGATTACTTCCCCAAATGCTTACTCCTGCTTCAAATTACACTGAGAGGAACACCCCTCTCTTTCAATACATTTGCATGTCAAGAGACTCTGATACTCTGCTTGGTAGGGTCTTTTAAATCTTCTTTTCCAATTATTGCACAGCAGTTCCCTTTATCAAATATTTGCTAAAGTAGAACTCTTTTAATTATCCTCTTGTTAGAAAAGGGCTCCTGTGCATTTCTGTGCAAGACTGGTGTCTGCTCTGCACATCCTTGCAGGATTTCATGCAAGCTGGCAAAAGCAGAAACATTTTTGCTTCTTTTTGGGTCACTTTTTGCATCTACTTTTCTTTGAGAGTGAGCAGAAATAATATTCAAGTAATGAACAGGCAACTGACTCAGGCTTTGATAAACTGATATTTGTAGATATCAGTGATGTTTCTTTAACAAAGACATTTTCATAAATGATCAGAACTTGTCTGAAGATGTCTGAGTGCAAATGACCAAGATATTGTACTTTCAGAGATGCTTCCATTTATGATTGATTTGTGTCAAAAATTTTTCTCCCCAACTACTCCTTTTCTGTCTTACTCACACGGCCCATAAAATCTTTCAGTGAATAATGTATGCCCTACTTTTGTGCTGCACTTAAAGCAGAGGGCACTTTATGGGCTTCCAACAACTATAGTCACTTTTTTTGCATGCTGCTTTCCAGGTCAGAATATGAAACACAAAGTTGAATTTAATTTCATTGTGTTGCTTCCCTACAAGCTTCAAGGAAAAAAGGTTATGGTTGTTCTTGTGGAAGCTCCCTTTCATCTCCTGACTTCTTTTGAGTAGAGAACATTTGAATTTAACTGTAATGTGAAGATAAAATGAACACTTAATAAAACAAGTGCTTCTATACTTAGGAAAGCCCCAATTGTTATCAGTGGAAAATTCCAGGCACTGTTGCTTTTAACGTCATGTTAAGTGGCACCTAGAAGTGTTTTGTGTTCATAACATTTGCCAGAATATAAATGGAAAGGATTTCTGACAAAAATAAAATTGGTGTGGACTATAGCAGAATGTTTTAGCAACACGTAAAAACAGGAGCTGTTTAATTGTTCTTGGGAAGATAGACAGAAGAGGGTGCCCAGGTGGCAGCTCTGGAATTGCTGCTCTCAGCCTGGTGGAGTGTGGTGGCTCAGGATGGCTGAGGTGGGAAGGTGCTGAGGGCTGATTGCCTGTGGCCAGTCTCACTGAGACCCTCCTGCTCTAACACAAAACAGTGCACTTCAGTGAGTGTCCTGCCAAGCCTCCTGGGAGTCCCTGTGTTGACTTCTTAGTTGGTTAAGACTTTTGCCCAGTACCATGGCATGTTCCAATGTGTAGCCTGGGTTTTTCCACAGCTCCTGCTGGTTGCATTCTGGTCACCGACACATGCAGCCCTTGCCTATGGGCCTGGCCTGTGGTGCTGACCCTGCACATGCTGCTGTCACTTAGCTAACCTGCTCTGGGCTGTTCAGGAAGCACCTGGAAGCTCATTTTCTTGAACTAACCTGCATCTCTGAACACCAGATGTTGGTTGGTAGTCATTCATTTAGAAGCTTAGAAAATATTCACTCCACATATGGATAGTTTTTGAAGGGTCTGGCACTGTCTGGAGTCAAGATACCTCAGTTTGAGGTTTGTACCAGCATGAAGCTGTGCCTTTACATATAATCTCAGATGCTGCTTTTCTATGTAGCAGTGTGTGCCAGCGTGTGATCTCATGGCCTGATGTGGTGAACCCAATGCAGATAACCAGTGTGTGTACAGCTAGGGAGGGGCTGACAGGTATGAGTGTCAAAGAGGTGGGAAAGGGAACAGGCCTGTCCTGATAGCAGCCTTTGTGTGTGCCACCTCAAGTGACAACATAGCTGCTGTCAGATCCGTGCAGCTATGCTGGTAGTAGCAGTGCTGTGTTTTTTGTTCTGTGATGACCACAGAGCTGGCTGCAGTATTTCATTTCTATGTGTCAGTATCCCAGCAGCTCACTGCTAACCTGATGTAAGCTGCTGGAGTGAGGAATCATGACTTCCCTCCCTGCAGTTGTCAGACCCAGCCTTGACAGCTCAGAAGCTGCAGTGCCAGTGGTGCTGGGAGAAGGAAATGCCCAAATGGCAGCACTGTAGAGGACAGGCTTCTCCCTGGCTGGTGCAGGATGAGTCTCTGAGGGCTGTGATGTGTGGGTCATGTCCTGTCTGCAGCGCTGCCTTTGTATGGGAGAGACATTTCAAATGTTCTTGGCAAAATGTTTGATTAATAGCGAGAGGGAGGGTTGCTTTTAGAAAGCATAATAGAGGTGTTACTATTGATTCATTCTATATTTGGAAGCTTTCCCCTTCTGAAAAATAGGACAATGGTAGTGTCTATGGATATTCAGCATTAGAGTTTAAGTTTTTTTCTGGAAAAGGCTTAAGAAGTCATAAAGCAGATGCAATAGTGCAGCTGCCAAACAGATGAGAGGTTTGTGGCTGCTACTTGCAAAGATGGACATCTCACTATCACAGTTCTGAATGCTTGCTGCAAAAAGAAGAGAGGGAGCCAGGCAGGGCACCAGCAAAGGACTTCATGGACTTGCTTTAAAAGACCCTAAATGACTCTTCAAGGCCAGCATGGCTGAATCTAATTGTATAATGGCCAAAAAAATAAAAAAATAAAAAAAAATAAAACAACAGCAACGCTTGAAAAGAGGGGGAAAGTTGTCCTTTTTCATTGTATTGTTTAGTCAATTTTAAGACTCCGATTTATGAACACTCAATTAGCTTTCGCAAATCAGGATACCAACAAGTGCATCTGTCATTCTGCCTGGCTGTTAGAACTTCTTTGTCTGAAACCCATGCTGTTCAACTGTGGCTGTGTTTTTTAAGGTCAGCCATTTCTTAAGTGAGTTTTATTTCTGCTTTATTTGCCCTATGCTGTTGCCTGTGCTTCTCCTCCAACGCTCTCCAAAGTGTTGTCCATTCTGTTCTTAATCACAAATATCTGATCCCAGCATAGTTTAATCCCAACACTGAGCAGAATTCCCAGTGTATTATTAAGTAAGGATGGGCTTGCCTCATGTTTTTTAAAATTTATTCAGTGTTGTTCTTCAAACTTGAATATTCTTTTGATTGCTTGTTACATGCTTTAGTTGCTTTTCCCAATCTTTTTAGTTTATTCTTTATTTTCGTGGTACTCTTATCCCAAATTTCACTCTGTAAATCCTGGCTGTATATGTATTCTCAGCCTGGGAAATGAAGTATTTGCTGTTTTCTTTTATGCGTCTTCAACCTTTGTCTGTAGTATTCAGTTCTTTATTCATAAATTTTTTTACTAAGCTTCCTAATAATTAGGATTGCTCTTGAACACATTCTACTATTTTAGTGACATTCTGGTAGTACAGTGCCCAGAACTGAATGTATTTTTCCAGCTGGGTTTATGCCAGAGCTATTTAAAGTCACCATTGTATTCCTTCCCTGTCCCCCTTTCTCTGTGACCTGACACACCCTATGAAGCCAGTCCAGACTTACATTAAGCTTGTTTTCAAGCAGCTCCTGACAAGTTTATTCTCCCTGCTGGTTTGTCTCCTTCTTTTGTTAATTACTTTGCAATTTATATGTCTATATAAAGTCTACTTCAGAATTTTTTCCAAGCTTTGTTGATCTTTGTTACTGTTTTCATTTCATATTTCACCACTCCTTATTAGTGTTATGCTAACCTTTCCATAATACATCAGTAGTTCTTAGTACCGTACAAATTAAATATGCTTCAACTTCAATTTCGTCTCCTCCTCATTAAAAATTTCCCAAGGAGCAGCACAAGTACCAGTGCTGGAGTGAGGGTGCAAGGGCATGATTTGATGCTCTCTCTCTCCACCGTGACTGCTTCAGATTTGTAGAAGTACAGCAAAACATGGTACAGCTTTTGTGTTTGTGCCAAGAACTTCCCTGATTATATTGGACTGAGCAGAATCACTGTCTCCCCTAAATGGCAAAGATGGAGCAGAGCAGTAAGTAAGTGGTGGTAACGCACAGATGCTGCAAGTCAAGATTTCTTGATTTGATCTGTACTCATGTTTTTACCCATCTGGGAATATATTTTAATGCTGCTTTGTGGCTGCTTGTTCTAGTGCATTTGAGCAAGGCACAGGATCTTTCTGCAGAAATGATTCCTTGCAGAAACGGTTACTTGCTTTGCTGTAAGGTCATTTAAAAGTAAAGTCCGATTCAGTTTTACATCACTTGTGCAGTGTGAAAATCCCTAGACCTGTCTTGCTTTGCTGGCAGGAAGACTTGGAGGACTGTCCTGACTAAAGGAGCTGTTGCATTGCAAAGCACTCTGCCTGATGTTGAGAAGAAACATCTCTGGGGAGGAAGGGATGGGTAAATCCTTATTTCCTTGCTATGGGCAGGGACCTGTTGCAGAGCTCTTCAGTGTGCTGAACCTGTGCTGGCTCACAGATGGGATCCTGTTCCTGTTGCAGGGGAGGAGAGAGCAAGAGGCACCTCTTCAATAATGGCTGCATGTGTGGGTTTGCTGGTGCCCTTGCGACAAGGTGAGATGGGAGGGCAAGAGGTGAGTCCCTGAGGTGCAGCTCATGAGGAAATCTGCAGTGCTTTCCTCTGTGTCAGTCCTATAAAGAGAGCTGCTTGTTGTGTGGTTCATCTTGATTGCGCTGATTCTGTGCATTGGGTTTATGTGGATACACAGCCTTGGTTTTGTTCCAAGTAATGAATGTTAGTGAAACTTCACAACATAAGATTGATAACATGCTGTTGACCAAAAGAGATCATTCTTGTGAAATCTTTACAGTTGTAGTACAAATACTGTTAAAGTACTTGAATTACTGCTTCAAAATTCAAAATCTACTGATTTTTTTTAGTTGTTGTTTTTACAGTAGATGTCATTTTGAGATTTTTGGACTGCACCTCTACTCTGCAATACAGTGTATTATGATGTGGAATGAAATGCTGCTCATAAGCTGAAACACTAAACTGTTTTGGGTAGAGAATGCGGAGAAGATAATGTTAATTACTGCAGTTAAAATCACAGACATTATTGGCCTAAATGATCCAGATGCTGTTATCCTGTAGTCCAGAGAAATGTTATTTTCCCACTGCTAAGAAACATGATGGAATCAGTCAGCAATGTGTATTCCAGCAATAAATATTTACATATAGGCTAGTACAGCAAAGATTTTAAAATTTTATTTCCCAGCAACTAACCATGTCTCAGCATGACTTGAAGGCTTGCCAAGTCATGAAAATGAAGGCTAAGCCTTTCTCAAAAAAAACAAGCAAGAACCTTTGGACACCATTGCTTTAATGGAGCAGATGTTCTTAGTCCAAGGCTGATATAGTCAGAAGAGGTGCCAATTGACAAAAATAGTTATATTTTGGGGGCCAGATGGAAAAGATTGCTGTCTGATTCAAGTTAGGTTTATTTTGTGTGTGCGTGTGCTTTTTTGTTTTGTGGAAAATTCAAGTTGAGTATTTGGAATTGGGAATTATCCTCTGCTATTCTGTGTGCGAGTACTGAAAACATGTTTTGCTTTTTCTGTTTGGCTTGATGTCCTTAAGAGATGAACTGCTCAAATGTAAGTGGACCACCTGTGTGCTACCACACCATTCAAAGCATCTAGAAAGTTGTTTGGAGTAGTCAACACCACATGCTCATAAATAAGTGAAGTGTCTTGTTATTCTGGGCAGTGCTAAGAAGTATTTTTAGCAGGCTTTTTTTGTTGTTGTTATTTTTTAAATTACTGAAATGTGATATCAGAAAGATCTTTTGTTGTTTTTGTCTCTTCAGAGTGATGACTTGAAGAACACAGGCAGTTGAGATAATGTAAAATAATGTTTTTTTTAGTGTTAAACATGACTTTGCAAATGTGCTAGATTTAAGTAACAGGCTTGCTTTGAAGAATTGTGCTAGAGAAACCACTGGTGGCTTCCAAAATGCTTTCAGTTAAGATTGCTTCATTTTTAAAGGGTTGCCTGTATTCTCATTCCATCTCCATTCTCTTATAGTTGCTTTTCTGAAGGTTTATTTTTATAGTTTGATTTTAAAAGACAAAATTCGCCTTGCTCAGTAAATGGAATGATTAGGCTTTATAAAGCCATAGACTTTCTGTTTCTAATGTCAAACAGTTGTGGGTGGTTTGTTGTTGGTTGGCTTTTTTGGGGGGGCGGGAGGGAGGGAGAGATGGAATTTCTGGTTCTGAGAAGAAAATTGAACAAGGATCCAATCCAACTTCATTTAGGACCATTTCTTTTCTTTTTCTTTTTTCTTTTTGACTGCAGCACAAGGGTACTGAAGTGGACATATTAAAAAAAGGGGTTAACGCTATAGTGGAAGAAGCAAAGGAAAAAATTTGTGACACGAAGTATAGTGTTAGTAACTGCTGTTGCCACTTTATATGAGCTGGCATGTGTGACTAAGAGAGACTTTGACTGGAATAGTTTTGTGCTGGTGACTATTAATTCAAGCAGTCACAAGAATAACTGTAATACAGAACAATATGTGACAATCCTAAGGTATTCTGTAAGTACTGATGACTACTTCGAAGTTATGTGGTCTGGTTTTGGCAACCCAGACAAAATTAATAGACCTGAAAAGATTAATCGTGTGTTGTGCTTATGGGAAGGAATCATTACTTGGTTAATGAACTAGTGGGAAATCTTAATCCAGCTTTTTCTTTCCTTACCTCCCAGTAGAGTACCATCTTCATAGCTTCCTTGAACAAGTATAGGTTTGATGGATTTATTGGAAATGGCAGATGTGAAAAGTTTTATTCCAACAAAATTTTCACTGAGCATGCTCCAGCAAGCAGTTGTATGAGGCACTTTTTTTAGGCACAGTGTTTGAGAGAGTTTCAAGATGCTTTTGATGGTTTTTAGTGTTTGTGGGATACGGTCATGAGTGAGCATAGGGCAAAAAATAGTAATCATAGTCATGTATCATTGAGCCATTTTAGGGTAAAATTTGGTAGTATTTGACATTTCACTTTTCCTCAAGAGGCACTGTTACTCCTGTCAATCTGGCCTTTTCATTAAAATGTGATACTAAATACTATCCTGCTAGATACACAGATGATAGTAAAACATCTAATTGCTGCATTCCAGATGTGTGTTTGTTTGTTTATTTTGCTTTCTTTGAAAGTGACAGGTACAATTCTATTAGATGTTGGATGTTTCTTTGGGTTTTTTTTTAGTCATTGACATTAGATGTTTAATGTGTAAAATTGTTGTGTGTTTGTTCTCGTAAGTTATTCATAACAAATTATACTGTTGAAGCTCTCCAGATTATTAAGCAAAGGAAGTATTATTCCTGTTATTCCTAGAAGCAGATAATTGGACATGATAAGATTTTTTTTTTTTTTTTTGTGACAGTCTTAAAATAATCTTGAACTAGTTGATTTTGTCTTTTTAAACCTAATTTTAAATTACATATTAAGTGAAGGAAAATGTGTTTCTGCCTTTTCAGGTTCATTTTGTCAATGAGCAAATTAGTTCAGTTCAATCCTTAGACTGAAAGGGGAAAGCACACACTTTTAATGTACAGAAGAGGCTGTCAGGAATTCATGATGTCAGCACATCATAATTCTGGGGTTTAGACAGTAATTTCTCAATATTCAGTTTAGCTTTGAACAGAAGTGCGTTCTACTTGAATATTGTGGGCCTAATTTTAATATCTCATGCTGTGTTTTGATCTTAATATAATTAATTATAGTCATAAGTTTAAAATGCTTAGAGCAATCAAATACAAATGAGCTATACTCATACAGATATCATTAAAAACTGTATTTTAACTTTTAAACCAAATTTAGCCATATTTTCACTTTCTTCTCCTGCTTTGTTCCAAAAAATTAGAGGCACAATGGTCCAAGGTTGCTCCCCGATAATAAAAAAAATAAGTTTTTTTTTCCTAGAGGGTGGTGAAGCCCAGGTACAGAGTACCCATGGAAGCTGTGGCTGTCCCATCCCTGGAGGAATTCAAGACTGGGTTGGATGGGGTTCTGCGCAGCCTGCGCTGGTGGGTGGCAGCCCTGCCCACAGAAGGGGATTAGAACTGAATGGGCTTTAAGGTCCCCAACCCAAGTCATTCTGTGATTCTGTAATTTTTCTAGTGATGAGAAAAACAGTGGAAGAGGACATGATGGCTCATGGCAGCTAATGCTGGGTTGCCTCCATCTGTAAGCTAAAATTCTAACTTAAACTTTCCCTCATGTGAATTTCTGACACAAACACTCATAATGCTTTTTATATTCTGAGTATAAAAATATTCCTGATTTATCATCCCAGTTAGTTATTTACTTCTAAACCATGTTGTTGTTGGCTCCTATTCAGCTTGACTGTGGTCTTCAGATCAGTCTGTAATGAGGCAAACTGCTTGGCTTTTGTGAATATCGTGGCAAGCCTGTAATCTGTTACTTCTGAAACGTTGTTCTTGGAAGAAGTTAGAATTTAACCAGGATTGTATTCCCATATTCTGTATTTCAAATGCTCATACTTTTAAGGCTGTTTTTCTGTTTGCTAAAGTTACAGGTTACAGTTAACAAGTTACAGTTAACAAGTGAAAGGAATGGTGTTATCTGCAGTTATCAAGCAGATCTAAAGCTATTCAACTATCTCATTTTCAGTACTCTATTGCGGTGGTATATTCCTGTTGTTTGTCTTAATGTATTTAAATTCTAAATGAGCTTTTCATCTCATACTAGTTTCAGAGCTATGAAGTCATCAGTCATTATAAAGCAATTTTTAAATCATTCAGGCTGGCCTAAAGTCTGTTCAAAAAAAGTGTGTATAAATCCCATTGTTTTAAATGAAGTAAATCTGAATAAAGCATAAAACAGTGTTACATTTCTGAAACAATAAACCACTTTGTAAATTCCCCAGTATCTAGGAAATAATCTACCTTCACTGTTTTTGAAGCTAATTACAGAAATATTTTATGCAGGTTCCGACTGGAACATCTCGTCAGAGTTACCCAGCTACCACATATCAGGACTTCAGCAACTGGGAATCTCTAATGAAAATTAAAGAGGGGCTGCTAAGACAGAAAGAGATTGTGATCGATCGGTGAGTAAGCTGCTCTTGCTGTGTTTGTTAGATTAGATGACATAAAAGCTGTGATGTAGAAACTGGAAAAGTAGAACTGTTAGCTTTCAGTCCAGCACTTACACACAAAATATGTGGGACTTAGACCTTGCCAGGAGAGAAGACAGGCTGCTTACTAAAAGTCTTTTACAAATTTGGGAATTTACTCAGGGGTTTGAGGCTTTTGCAATGGAAAAGGGAGAGCAAGACCAATAGCTAGTTCTGCTGTCAGCTTGCCCAGTCTAGTTTCATGTAAGTATTCATGTTCATATTGGACATATTTCTGCTTGTATGTACGGTCTTGGGATTGATGCAAGCTGAGAGCTGGTAATCTGCTTTGTACTGATTTTACTTGATGTGGGAAAAGAAAGAAATGAAGTATATCTGAAGCCCGCTGATAATTAAAGCTTTGAGAAATTGGTCTTGGAAGAAACGTTTATTAGCAAAATCGTATTTAATTGCTCAAATTGTTCAAATAATAAAATATTAAAATCATTATCTACATGTCAAGAGATACATAGTTTCAAGTTGAAATTGTTATCAATCTAATATAGAACTTGGCAGCAAGTCGCTACTGTAAGTTTCTAGTACAGATGATATAATTTCTGGAGTTCTAGATGTTTAGATGATATTAAGCCTTAATGAGGAAAATGTGCTTTTAATAAAGGGCTTAGTGAAGCTTGCACTAAATTATCAAATGTCATCAGGAGCTGCTGAGTTTGGATGTAGGACATTTAAGAAGGGTATTTTTATATTTGACATAATTATCATTTGGCTTAGTCTGTGTTTTAATAATAAACTCTTGACTCATGACTGAAAGGAGTGGTTGTTCTTATCTTGAAATAGTTTTGGCCTCTTATTGATACTTTGCTCCTCAGCCTGGGGAGAACTGTGTAAAGCAGGTGTGTGCTAATAACAGGAATGTCAGGCATCTGTGATAAATGTTTTTTTTATTTCATCTGGTAGTTCTTCTCCCTTAATTGGATGGAGATGGACAACTTTGGCAGCAGAATTATGCTTGTGCACAATCTGTTCCTTTCTCTCTTGCAACAGAGAAGGAAACTGTGATGAATTAAGATGTTTTTGCCCCCTAGCAATGTGACCATCACCTCTGCTGGCCAGCATCATTTTCCCTAGATCAGCTTAGACACCTGATAGCATGCATTTTCCTGCCCCTGCAGTGGAAGATGGTCCACAGAATAGGAAGTGGCTGGTACATGCACTCAACATCCTGCTTTAATGCAGATCTTTCAGGGGGACAGGCAGTTGAGATGGAAGCATCTGTAGCTGTTGCATAGATCTCTTCTGTCAGAGTCTTTTGATCAGCTGTTCAGGGGCAGCTAAAGTAAAGCAGCTTTTCCAGGCCTGTTATATCAGTAGTAATGCTGTATAACCTGCAGCCCTCCTTTCCATGCCCAGGCTATCACTGGTGTTTGTGAACACATAATGCATGATGGCCAGGGACTGTCTTTTGTTGCCTCTGCTTTGCACCTACGCTCTACAAGAAGACTTGTTACACAATGGCAGTTGAGCCATCAGTTCACATTACTCTTCTCACAGTGAAAATGGGTTTACAGTCAAGGTGAAGTTTCATTTTACTGAAGTGACAGTTTGCAACCTAGTTACCTGATATTGTCCATCCAGAGGGAGAAAAGCAATTTCTTGACGTCCCATGGCAATGTGTGTGATCTTTTTTTGTAAAAAGAATACTTTTGTATGACTTAGAGATAGTGAACACAGCTGAATACAGCTCTTTCTGGATTTATCAGAGAAGTCAGTTGAGGTGATCCCTTTTCATTCATCTGAAAAGACAAAGTACATTCTGAAAGCTACTGAAATGAACAAAGACCACTTTGTGATCTTATAGTCATTTGCTTTAAGTAGACACTTGGTGTTGCAGTTAAATACAGTGTAAATTGCAATATAATCATAAACCACAGAAAGGGCAGTTTTCTAAATATTAAGCCTCCATTTGGGCAAAGAATTGCCTCAAGATTTATGATTTGAAAACAAAGTTACTTCAAATAATTGAGTTGTATAATTTAAAATCAGTACAAAATGATGTTGCATATTTGTAAAATCTTTTGCATCTCCTTCTTATATTGTTGGTTGGGTTTTGTTTTGTTTTGTTTTTTTCACTGATGGTTTATTTCATGGAGGAAATAGTATGTAGTTGCAGTCCAAAATTCTAGAAACAGAACACCATTATAAAGTGCTAGTGTTCTATTTATTATTAAATGGAACATTCATAATTCTTAAGTATAAGTAATGCCTTCTTTCAACGCCATATTTTAAAAGAGGGGTGCAAGATATTACACTGAGAGCCAGTGTAAGGTCTGGGACTAAACCTAGGATTTTTGACTCCTGTTATCCTTGATCTTATTTTAAACTTTTTTACAACAAACAACAACAACAAAAAAACAACCATGGCTAATGTTGAATTTATAACCTGGTAAAAGAAGGATATCAGCAAGACTTGTTTAATTAATGGGGGAACTGAGGAGGGTCAGGTCGTCCCTGTGACATCTGGAAATTGGAGGAGTGGTGTAGCAGTTGGCCAGAGGATGCTGGAGGTGGGGCTCTAAGCTGGTGCTCTGGTCATAGCTGTTTGCAGTTGAGAGGTACAAGAAAAAACGGAATGAAAAGAAACACCCAAGAACACCCTTATCTTGCTCTTGTCTCTAGCTGCCCTTCCACTGGTTGCTGTCCAGTTTATTTGAGGTTAACATACACTCTCGTGCTGTGAATTGCAGCAGGAGGTAGAGTTGAACGCCACAACTTAAATGCTTAAATGTGTTGATGTGCTGGAAGTAGAGGCTGCATATGTAGTGGTGTCCTTGAGGTGCTCCACCTTGTTGCTGAAAAGGAAGCAGAGAGGAAACAGAAACCTGCTGCCTGCTTCCCTTCTTATCCCATGGTAATTAAAGGGCAACAAAAATCCAACCCATCCGGATAAGATTATTCAACTTCCTTGTTTTGCAGCAGAAATCTAACAGTTTGGAAAAGCTGCAAACAAGATCCTGTTTGAAATAACTCAAGAATTAACACTTGCTGTATGAATCACCACACTTGGATAGGTTGTGTGTCACTGGAATTCAAAGCCATTAGTAGAATGTTAGGAAAAAAACAGTATTTGTGACTCGAATAAATGGCTTGATGAGTATTCTGTACACTGTTGAACATTTACTGTTGAAGATTTACTAGTAGATGAGTTAAAATTGTTTGGACTTGTGTATCTGAACAAGTATAAATGAACACAGTAGCATAAATGTGTGGGTATAAAAGTGCTTTAATTTTGTTTTTAGAGCTGCTGTAGGTATCACTGCCAATTTAACAAATCAAAGCTTGAAATCTGTTTTTAAGTCTACTCTTAAAGAATTGGGGAGAAATCACTTTTATAAAGAGAAAGTGTGGCATGAGGGACAGAGCCTGGCATGTGTGTACAGAGGAATACAGTGGCACTTTCTAAAGGTGTGTATCATGCTTTTTCCACTTTAGATCTGTTGGTGCAGAGTGTGAATAAAGGATAAGGGTCTTAACAATTTTGTTTGTAAGAAGAAATCTGCTGCTGTAACGCTTATTACTAGAACTGGATTATGTCATTGCCTCACTTCTTCAGCTTAATGTGTAACACTATATTGTACTTGGCACCAGAGGGAGCCAACAGTATATGCATTAGTTTAGAAGATTACCGCATCACATTTTAATTCTCAGCACTGTTCCCATGCCATGTACTCTCTTCAGTTCATTAACAAAAATGAAATTACAGCATTTTGGTACAACTATGAACATCTCTGACTGGCAAGCCACTGTGGATGTCTCTGCTGTGGTATTGGCACAGTTTGGCTGGGATTGCATGTAGTTAGGTATGTGAATAAATGCCAAATATCTGAATATATGACATAAACTGCTGAAAATAGCACTTTGCATGCAATGTTCTCATCCAGGCAACATAAGGGCACTTGAACTGCTTTTTATGAAAATGCTTATATAAAAGTATCATTTTAGTGAGTAGCTGTAGTTCCTCGGATACTAATATGGATACTAATCCTCGGATACGAATATAGTAATATTCGCAGTCTCCGATCAGTTGCTAAATTATTAACTTTCCATCCAGAGTTGAATTACACTTTACTGTTTTCATTAGGATATTTGTATTAGGTTTTCTTTCCCTCCTGTTAAATTGGCTCATCTTCACTTGTTGATGTCAGACTGGGTGTGTTGATAGTGTTCATGTTACTGCTAGTGCAGGGCTGTAATTTCTTAATTTTTGACTCCTAGGTCATATTTTCTGGACCTCTGGTAGGTTTCCTTATTCCTTGAATTCTCTCCAACTGATTTTACATCTTCTGGAAGCGTCCAAGTTGGACACCTGAGGCTTTTCTCCTGCTTTGTCCCTCTTGTAGGCTGCCTTTCTACATGGCCTGCTTTTGTAGTACAGCATTGTGTAGTTATGCTCAGTAATTGTTCAATAATCCCAGATATTATCCTCTGGAACTTCATTTTCTTTTCTGTGGGTTTAAATGTTTTTAGGAAGTCCCACTACTGACAGAGATGGGAGCAGCATGACGCCTGTCAGGAGGCCGCAGGAGGTGCAAAACTCCATTGTGGGAGGGAGCATCCCTGCGCAGGCAGCCATGTCCGTGTCTTCCTTGTTCCTCACTCCCCTTTGGCTACATGGCTGACATTGTTTGACTAAGTCAAGTGCAGTTGTTGGCTGTGCTTTTACCTGGCCTCCCCATATGTTAGTGCTAACTTGCTTCCTGAGGGTCAGAATAGCATATCAAACTTCAATGCAATTCAAAAGAGTCATTTAAAAAATAACAAAATCCACCTATAAGAAAGATCCATTCTGGACTCCTAGAGGAGGAAAGAAAAAAAATAAAAAAGCACAAAATAGACTTGATTGCATAGGAAGTTGGAGTCTATCTATTTTTGCATGAGTTTTAGTGGTATCAGAGCTGTCTGGCTTTATCTTCCAA